GTCGGTAGTCGCTGTCAAGGTCATTAAGTCGAAACCGGCTTATCTCAACCAGTCACTCTCGGAGGTTAAGCTACTAGAGTTTCTCAATCAGAACAGCTCAAGCAGTACATTTATCTCGCTTCTTGATACCTTCATGCATAAGGAGCACCTCTGTTTGGTGTTTGAGATTTTGGCTTCCAATCTATATGAGCTCATCAAGCAAAATCAATTCAATGGGCTCAATATGAAGTTGGTGAAGTCATTTACTAAGCAATTGCTTGAGGCTTGTGCACAATTGAAGAACCTACAAATTATACATTGCGACCTCAAGCCAGAAAACATTTTATTATGCCAACCCGACAAACCAGACATAAAAGTGATCGATTTTGGAAGTGCATGTTTTACCAGACAGACAATTTATTCATACATTCAGCTGAGGTTTTATAGATCTCCAGAAGTCATATTGGGTCTACCTTACACTGAATCGATAGATATGTGGTCACTCGGCTGCATTGTCGGTGAGCTATTCCTCGGGCTACCCATGTTCCCAGGAGCATCCGAGTACAATCAAATTTTCAAGATTACAGACATGCTTGGTAACCCTCCTAGACACATGATCGAGGTGGGTCGTAATGCCATGAACTATTTCGAAAAGTGCCCTTCTTCGGATGCGAGCGGAAAGCCTAGCTACCGTCTCAAATCACACGAAGACTATCTTGAATTTTTAAGGCAAACAAAGGGCAAAGACGAAGTACGCAGAGCGGAACAACCAAACAAGGAATATTTCAACGACCGTTTGTTGAAGGACATCATTCTCAATTACAAGATGCCTTCCCGCAAGATGACCCAAATGATGATAGATAGGGAGATGCATGATAGACATTTGCTAGTTGACTTTTTAGCAAAAGTCCTAAATTTCAATCCGCTTGAGCGGTTGACTCCGCAAGAGGCATTAAAGCATCCGTTTGTGAGCGAATCCACGCCTGCCGCACACAAGACTCCGCTTGACTCGCCCAATCCGGCGGCAATGGCATAGCCAATAGCGGCTTTGAAACATTGTTCTGATATTTACGATCATAATCATTGATGCATTATCATATTGGCTGCAAAATGTAGATAGTAGACTCGTGTCGTGCGCGCGCAAAAAAACTGATATAGACGTGAAAAGTCTCACGAAACAAATAACCAACGACTGTCAAAATAGCGTTGGTTGAAGCTACTCAAGAAGTACCTAGCCCAATCTCCAATCATGAACGTCAGTACTAGTGCTCTCGGAGTCCGCAGGAGAAAGCCAAGAAGTCAGAATATTGACGATGAAGAAAATGCATCTTTGTTAAAACTAGGGCCAGAATTCCAACTCACACAAATAACCAACTCCGGAGAGCAGGAACAGCTCATAGCGCTAAATTTATCTGAAGCCAGACTTTTGATAAGAGCTGCATTGAAGGAGAGAAAAAGCAAACAGGAAGCTAGACAGTTCGAGGAAGATGATGAAGAGAATGAAAGAGAAGACGAAATAGCCAACATAGAATTAGCGGGACCAAATTCAAATGAGGTGACTCACAAAACTTTGAACTACCTTTCAACGTTCAGCAGATTCAAGAACTCCTTCTCCACTGAAACTGTGGAAAAGCTTTTGAACGATTTCAACAGTCAAGCCACCGAGCCACTACACCCATTTGAGTTGGCACAGTTGGGTAATTTGGAGTGTGAGGATGCCGAGGAGGCCAAGTCTTTGATTCCCAGCTTGGCTAACAAAGTATCCGATGTTCAGCTCAAGACTCTCTTGACTGAATTGAGAAAATACCAGACATTATCGTAATGCCTGTGATCAAGCAAAGGTTTAAAATAAGCATCAACGGAATCTGTTTCTGTAACAATAGTAATAACGACATTGACTTGTTGTAGAAGTATATTGTCTGGCTCTTGATAAGTATGCGACTAGTTCATCGCGCTCGATGTAGGAATATCAACTAAAACCAACCATGGACTCAGATGACGATGACTTGTACGATGAGTTTGGCAATTTCATAGGAGATGCCAATGACTCAGATTCTGGTTCATCTGCCTCAGAGCTTGATGATCCTGCTGAATATGAAGAAATAGAAGAGGATGTCATTGAGGAGAGTGAGGAACCCACAGAGCAGGCATTAGTTCAGAAAGAGTTTGACCTGCGTTTTGCAGGAGCCGAGACGGTCGTTATAGATCCAAATCAAGTGCCGGAGGAGCTGCCTGTCATCCAGCCAGTCCTGCAAAATAAGCTACATGTTGAGTTCAAGGCTGAGACCGAAGAGGACCTACCGACTACAACATACTCACGAGAGTATATGCTACAACTTGCCAATGACCTCCCAGAAAGAATAAGAAACGTTGCTGTGGTGGGCAATTTGCACTCCGGCAAAACAAGCTTAATAGATGCGCTTGTACAAGAAACCCATCCAGAGGTGACAAATACCAAGAGAAACCTCCAAGAATTCAAACCATTACGGTACTTGGACACTCATGTGCTTGAACGCAAACGTGGAATGTCAATTTTTGCACACCCGATGACTCTCTTATTGTCAGATTTAGACGACAAATCGTATGTTGTCAACTTCCTAGATTGCCCGGGCCACCCTGACTTCGATGAAGAAGTGCAAACTATGCTAGATGCTGCAGAAGGAGCTCTTTTGGTAATTGACATAGTGGAAGGGCTTACTAAGCGCGATAAGCGTTATATCACTTCTCTCGTCAAACGAGACTTACCCATAGTGGTCGTCTTCAATAAAATCGACCGTCTTATCATAGAGCAGCGTTTGCAACTTTCAGACTTCTATTTGAAAATTCGCTACGTTCTAGATGACATCAACGCTTGCATATACCATAATGAGTTTGCCCTGACCTATTCCCAGAAAAAACTTATCAGTCCTTTGGAGGACAATGTCATATTCTCATCGAACAACTTCCGTCTTTCATTTACCCTTAAGTCTTTCAGTGACAGGTATGCTAATGAGCTAGCTTCTTTTAGTATCCCCAACTTGGAGAAGTTTTACGCTCTCCTTTGGGGTGACATATATTACATTGAGAAGACTCGAAAGTTCACCAAGGACAAAAGAGCCGGGAAACGAACTTTCGAACACTTCATATTAGAGCCTATCTATAAGCTCATCACATATTCGATTACCACCGATAGAAAAAGCAAGGATCTTCCCAAGCTTTTGTGGGAAAATTTCGGACTAAATCTTCCGAAGTCTTACTTTGAGAAAGATCCACAAGAAATTTTGCGATTGGTACTTTCCGAAACCTTCGGCTCATCCAAGGGGCTAGTTAGTCTGATCGCAAGAAGCTTGCCACAGCCCTCGCTGTCTCATCCGCGTTTTCCAAATCTTTCGAATATACCCGACAACCTGGTTGTTGCAGAAGTCATCAAAATCTCCTCCTCTGCAAACTACAAGTCTCAAAGTGCTCTCGTGAAAATTATTAAAGGCACTTTAAAGACAGGAGATAAGCTCAAGGTGGTCAGTGGTAGCACCTTGGAGAACGATGCTAAATCACTTATCGCAAAGAACCTCCTGATTCCAGCTGGTCGATACAAGGTGAGAACAAGTGACGTCAATGCGGGTATGTTAACGTATGTGTCCATCGATGAGTATGATGTGTCAAAAACTGCCTCCCTTTTTGGTGATGGTGTTAAATCCAATTTGTTGCAACCGTTTCATCGAAACAGTTCACAAGAGAGGTCTGTTTTCAAAGTTGCAGTGGAGCCCGAGAAACCTACAGATTTGCCAAGGCTTGTCGAAGGTCTTCGAAATTTAAGTGAAATATATGGTGCAGCCGTTGTGAAACTTGAAGATAGTGGTGAGCATGTTGTTCTCGCTCCTGGTGAGCTCTATTTGGACTGCTTTTTCCACGATCTCAGAAACTATTCCGAGGACTATCTTTCCATAAAAATCAGTGATCCAATGGTAAAGTTTAGTGAGACGTGCTCTGAGCGTTCTGCCACTAAGCTCGCGACCTATGGGTCCTCCAAAAAGACTCATATTTCCATCACAGCCGAGCCAATGAATGATAAAAATTTCAGCTCAGCGGTACAAAAGGGCCTTATAGATCCATCAGAGTCACAACGAAGCCTAGCTAAGACGCTCAGAAACGACTATGGCTGGGATGCATTAGCTGCAAGATCCTTGTGGGCTTTCGGACCACACGATAAGCAAATGCCCTCAGTTCTCCTTGATGATACCTTTGATGGAGAGACTGACAAGGAGCTTCTAAAAAACAACCAGGAGTCAATTAGCAAAGGTTTCCAATTTGGTATCGAGGAGGGTCCGTTATGTGATGAGCCCATTAGAAACACCAAATTCAAGATCCTTGATGCGGTTCTAGCCAGCTCGGGTGTTCGAACCCATGGAGCACAAACAATCACAATGACAAGAAATGCAATTCATACCGGTTTGCTTACGGCAGCCCCTCGCCTCCTCGAACCTGTTTACCGTGTGAACATCATTTGCACCACCCGCAGTTTGCAAGCGGCTCAAGTTATCTTGGACAAAAGAAGAGGGTGGGTTGTATCTGAAACTCCAATTCCAGCAACCCAACTATACGAATTAGAAGGGTTTGTTCCAGTTCTAGATGCCGTCGGGCTAGATACTGACATGAGACTCCAAACGCAAGGTCAAGCAATGTGTTTAGTTGAGTTTGATAGATGGAAGACGGTTCCTGGTGACCCGCTTGACAAGACGGTACCTTTACCATCACTCAAGCCAGTCCCAAGAGAGTCAATGGCAAGAGATTTCGTCATGAAAACGAGGAAACGGAAGGGTTTAAGTGGAGAGCCAAACTTGCAAAAGTACATTGATCCAAGCTTATATTCTCGCTTAAGAGAAAGCGGCATCATTGACTGAGGTTACTATATAATGTCTTACCTGAGACATTTTCATATCAATCGATATGTGTATAGGTCTCAATCTTTATAGCATAGCATCAAATTAAATTAAAAGTAAAAAAAGAAAAAAAAAAAAAAAAAAAAAGTCAAATGGAGCAACTTATGACTCCATAGAATGCCGCAATTGCTTCACGTTTCTTTCCTCATCCATAGACACGGAGCGTTTGCGTCCCACCTCTCGAGAAAGTCTATCAAGGATTGTCACTGGGCTCTCGTCAAGACTGAGGGTTAGTGTGAGTGGAGTTTCATCTTTGTTTCTTTTCATGACGTAACTTTGCGTGGTTAGTAGCACCTCCGCAAGATCGAGATCAGAAATACGATGATCCCCTAGCGTAACCGTCAATACATTGTCAAACGATACAGTTAAAAGATCGTCATCGTTTAGTGGCCTCAAATCTTCAAACACATCACTTTGGCGTAGGGCGTCGAGGAAGTCGAAGAGCAGCCAAGATTCGATTTGCTCTCTCTCAAAAAGCCATTGAAGGTGAGGAAACTCGGCCGCATCTTCAGATTCAGCGACCAAGAGATACTTAGCTTCGCCCGCCTCGACGATAATAGGACTTTGAAGGGATAGGGCCCGATCGTGTGTACTGGGCGATCCATTGACCTCTTTCGTAAGAGCTTCGGTTTCCTCAAGATTTTCGATCTCGTCTTCACTGTCAATTTCGACCACCGATATCTGCCTTGAGCCGATTAGTTCAACGTCTTCGTAATCATCATTGTCGTTGTCGTTGTCATTGTCGTCATGGGCGTCATCTTCATACCCTTCTTGGTCCTTGTCATGCTCTTCTTGGTCCTCATCATAAATTTCGCCCTCAAGCGGGGTGTGATTCCATGCTTCCTCCTGCTGTTCCTCTTCTGCATTGGATAAGTATTCGATTTCCTCGCCAAGCTCGCCAGTTTCATCGAACGATCTTTCTTGAGTTCCGTTCTCTTCTTCTTCTGCCTTATTTTCAACATCTAGATTAAAGCGCTTTAACTCTGGAGGATCAATTGCTTTCTGTATCTCATCTTGCTTCAAAATGTCATTAATATCACCAGATTCTGCTGTCTCGATGGCAGATTCATTTCCACTCGCTTCTATTTTGCTAATGTTTGGTGTGCTATTGCTCAGCACGTCACCCTCATCTAAATCACTCAATAACCCTGTGGACTCTTCAAAATTGCTCATGATAGCAGACTTACCTACCTGGAATGTTAGATCAACGTGTCAAGTATACTTACTATTGAAAAAGATGTTATGTGTATGTAATTGCAGGTGTGAGATACGCGGGGCGCGAAATGAAGTTTGTCTTTTGTATGAAACTAATATTACACTAAGAAGAAGAGTGCGGCATTCCGAGAAAGATTCAGGTGCTCACCTCTTCTGAACTCATCATTTTCGGAAATAACAATGCTTACGCAAATTTCCGCTATGGTACCCAAACCTTAAAGGATTGAGGCGTCTTTATAGACAAAGGCTTGACCGTAGATTCAGCCGCCTGTGCCTTTTCGTCACTTTCTTCAGACTTACTTTGCGACTCAGTCTTCGAGTCTTTCTCCTCAAAGGCCAGTATCGTAGGCTTATAAAGCAATGATTGGGCTTCCTTGAGGATTCCCTCAATGTTTTGTGCCTTGTCTTCTGCCACCGAGCCTTCCTCTGCTTTCGAAGACTTGAGAAGCTCGAGCGCCTCATTTAGCTTCTTGGAGATGTTGACCGTAGATCTTGTCAACGCAAGCCTGTCGCAGAATATTTCACTTTGAAGACGTGACAAATTTGATCTTTCTCTCTGGAAAATCCTTTCGAGCTCATTAACCTTGTTCATTTTAACGTCGAGTTTCGTGAGCTCATTGTTCAATATGCTTGATGTCAAGCGCTGCATCTCCCTCTCCTCATAGTTGGCAAATAAATGACTGCGACCACCTACGGCACCCAAGACACCGGTGGCGGCATCTTTGATATTGTCGCTCGATTCAGACGCTTCGAAAGTTTGCTTCAAGTCGTCGCCGAGGGATGGGTCAACCGAGTCAATGTTTGCAGAGCCATTGGACTCTGAGCTCTCCTTTTTGTCTTCGGCCTCCGATTTAATGGCTTGTGCCTTTTCGACTCTTTCGAAAAACTTCTGATCCAACAAGTCCGAAGCACGTTTCGTAGCAGCTTTCACGACATCGGCGTCGACGAGATTTGTCATGAAGACAAGATTGCCAATGATTGGATTGTCAATGGACGAGACGGGGAAGTTCGCGGCATATTTAATTATGCTTTCGTCTTTCGTGTCGAGTGCGTTGTACCGATCTTCCAAAGGCATACCGAGGAATTTTAGGATACATTCTTGAGGTGTCTTGTCATTGCCAACTCTCTTCGCAATTTTATACCAGTCATTCCTGTCCTCTTTTATTCCAAGAACAAGCAGCGAAAGCTCTTCCGTGGTCCATTTGTCGTCAACCGCGTCTTCAATCTTGCGCTTTTTCAGTGCTGGTTCATCATCTAGTCCCAAGCCATCAGTAAGGATATCATTAGTGTGATCCGATGAGCCATTGAGTGTTTGGTCAGATGCAAGAAGAGCTTTTAGCTTTCCAGCATTCACGTTTTCTGGATTCACCTTATAAGTATCGAATGGGAACAAACCTCTGGGGGTGTCGTATTGTACATGAAAGTCGCCAGTGTATGGTAATCCAACCAGGGATCCGTTAGGCAATTTCTCTAAAGCGTAAGCGGGTTTGAGCTGAGGGTTCACTTGGTAGTTTATGAGGCCCCATTTGGTGAGGAAGCGGTGAACACGCATCAAGGTACCCACATCGCCAACCAAGTTTCGGCGACAGGACGTCAATGTCAAGTACTCATTAGGGTTTAACCTGTAAACGTTGATCATGAAGTTTCTGTAGTTGGCGTAGATCTTAGGGGACTTGGAGGGATGCGACGTGTTGAAGAATTCAGGCAACGAGTCACGCTCAATTTGGTGAATCTTCTTCATATTGAACCATGATGCGTAGGAGGGGATTATTATGGCGTGGGTTTGGCGAATGCGAGACTTGTCGTCAGTGTCCAAGTGGCGAGAGTCGCCCAACTTCTCAAACACGTCTTCCTCAAGCTCTGAGTCACTTTCATGCTTCTCTACTGTCGCAACGGGCTCTTGCTTGATTTCTGGCTCGTCGTCTTCTATGCGAGGAGCATTTTTTCGACTCTCCTTCTCGCCTTCAGTCGTAACAGGCTTCTCAGCTTCGCTTTCGGTCTTTTCGACCGCTGGAGAAGCAGCTGATTCAGGCTCGGCCTTCTCGGCTTCTTTATCGGTTTCGCCAGACTCCTGGTCCTTGGCTTCCACGTTGAGATCCACGTCCATGTCTAGGTTTGTGTTTGTATCCGCGCCATTCTCCTCCTTTTTATCATCATCAGCCTTTGTCTCCTCATTGACAGGCTCATCTTGTTGTAGCTTCTCGTCGTCCTTGTCCATGTCCATATCGAAAAACTCGTTGGGCTCGGAGGTCATGTTGTGCAAGCCGTCGTCCAAATTGTCATCCAAGGCCGGGTCCAACATCGGGTCCAAAGAAGGATCCAAGTTGTCGTTGTCGAGGGAATCGATGTTGCCGATGTCACCTTGCAATTCTTCGTTGGGCTTTTCTGAAGGTAGCGGTGTTTTTTCTGAGTCGGACATGGTGGTGATTAGGGTCAAGGAACGTGTGGACAAACAAACAAATACGGCGGCGCCTTTCGGTCGGCGTGGTGTGCCAGTGGTGATACGTTAATAAAAGCGGGTATTGGTTCAGGCGAGTGCAACCAATTTGATTGTTCTCTGGATGTTTGCGCTCTAGAGGTGTAGCTCGTGGGAGTTGAGTCTGGGAAACGGGGGTCGTGCGGACCCCATACTTCAGCCTGAGGGAGCCAGCCAGGTGTAAGAGGAAAGAAAGAAAAGAGGATACAAGAAGTGAAAAGAACAGGGAAACGGGACTTTTAAAAGGCCCGGCTGCATGGTCCTGAAGCAGGAGAAAGAGAATGGGGTAGACCGGCTGCGAATATGTAAAATAGGCAAAGAAACGACAATTACGAGTCGGGTGCGTGGGCAAGAAAACACAAATGCAGTTGAGCCCCAGTGCTAAAGCCACCGTGCCGAGTGCCAGGGAAGCCAAACTTTAATAGGCTAGCAAATTTGCTGGTTGTTTTATTTTCCCTAATATATTTGGAAAACCTCCTTTGCTTTCTTTTTGGCTGCCTGGGTTATTCAGAAAAGTTTACTGAGATTCCGTCGTGGCGGGGCCTGGGGCTGGGTGCATTTGCATATCCATGGCCTTTCTGCACGGATCCTCTCTTATCTTCTCGAGGCTCGTGCAGCACGCAACAATACTAAACCGTCCTGTGGCTCAAGCCCGCAATGTCCTTGGTGTTGCTATTCTTGTTGGAATTTTTTGGGAATTATGTGTTTCTGTTGCTTGGTTCGATGAAAGCTCCTTGAAGCTGCAATACCATGAGATGGTGCGGTAGCCTGTGGAAAACGCACGGCAGTAATTAGACTACGTAATAATCGAGAAATAGGCAGGTTGGTGGAACGGGCAGAAAACCAAGCAGGTCTGGCGCCAGAACGGAAAACGGCAGCACTAAACATAGAAGGGGGTTACTTTGCCATTGTTGCTGTGTTCCTGCTTAGTGCTGGGGTCGGAGATCTTCGAACATGCTCCTTACCCAAAATTGCAACGTTCTTTGGAGGATTGTATTCTTTGCTTTTTCAGGTTCAATTAACCGATGGTGTTTCAAGCGGGTACCTGTTCTTCGTGAACCTACAGCTGCGACGATGCCCCACCAGCCCCGCTGTAGGAATGCATATCCGGTGGGAAAGTTCGAAGGGGATCCCGGCGATCTTGGGTCACTTTTCTAAACATAACTTTTTTTTAAGATATCCTTCACTGTTCTCTGTAAAGTGGGTTTCTCTGTGGGGTGGACCGTTTTATGGTGTGTCACGTGCGCGAGGCTAGGGCTCAGACCTAGGTGCTCCAAGGTGCGAAAGTGGAGTTGAGTGCACTCCCACGCAGTCGCACACTGGTAGAGGAAAAAAATTTCAAAAACTCTTTCCCACCACAACTCCATCGACACAGTTACCATGGTTCGTTACGCTGCTTCACCAGTCAACCCAGCCAAGTCGGCCTCTGCTCGTGGTGCTTACTTGAGAGTCTCTTTCAAGAACACCAGAGAGACCGCCCAGGCCATCAACGGATGGAACTTGGAGAAGGCTCAGAAATACTTGGACGATGTCTTGGACCACAAGAGAGCCATTCCTTTCAGAAGATTCAACCACTCTATCGGCAGAACCGCCCAGGGTAAGGAGTGGGGTGTCCAGAAGGCCAGATGGCCCGCCAAGTCCGTCAACTACGTCAAGGACTTGTTGCAGAACGCTCAGTCTAACGCTGAGGCCAAGGGTTTGGACGTTGCCAAGTTGAAGATCACCCACATCCAGGTGAACCAGGCTCCTAAGAACAGAAGAAGAACCTACAGAGCTCACGGTAGATCCAACGCCTACTTGTCCCACCCATCTCACATCGAACTCATTGTCTCTGAGGAGGAGGAGCAGATCGCTAAGGCCACCGACAAGGTCCAGCCAAGATTGAACTCCAGACAGAGAGGTAGATTGGCCCACTTGAAGCGTATCGGTGCTTAAGCCCCCTGTACATCTAATAAATATCACGAGGAGAATCCATGTAGATACCAGCGATATGCGATTGTAGATTGTCGATTCAAATGTGAAGCTGGTTGAGGCGTAAGTTGCTTCATGCTTAAAGAGGTCTGTGACTGCTTTCAACTGGCTTACCATTTAGCGCCAGGATACGACAGTCCGTACTGGGGCAAATTTGCACCTGTCGTCTATATCAACGACGGTAGTATTTCTCAACGACGGTAGTGTTTCTCAAACTTACAGGTCGAAATCATCTTCAAGAAACTGGTCTCGAGGTAGAGATCAAAAGTTTCTTGAGATGAGACCGTTGGTGATCTCCGGTGGTCTCGCGCCGAAATCTGATCTGGAGCATGGCACTCCAAGCACGTCTATAAGGTATATTAGTCTATAAATAAGGATAAATATTTCTGTCATGGGTATAAGTTGGTGGTGTGTTTTTCAATTAATGCTGTTGGAGCGGATCACCTTCATCCAGAGCTGAAGGTCCGACGCCGCCTGCTCTGAAAATTCAATTACACCCTCAAATAGTAGCACCAATACAAGTGCAACATTCAACACCTGCTGCGAAGCTAGGCGGGCCCAACTGAGGCCGAGTTCCAAAGACTTTTTGGCGGTATCAACGAAAAACATGTAGCGAACGAATGGGGTATGTGGGGGGATCCAAGCGGCTGCCCCATGGTTCTTATACGGGCCGGATTAATACCGGAGGTAAAGGCTGGGATGCAGCGAGAGTCCAGACTTCGTGCGCAATTGCAGCCGAGCACTCCCAGTGAAAAAAGACACAGGACGGCTGCGAAGACACAAAGTGGGAGGGAGGGAAAAAAAGCGGTTTAGCACTGACTTTTTTTTTTTTTTAGACGATGTTTATTTTGACGAAATTAGATGGTCTGGAACAACATGTGTAAAAAAAATCTAGCCATTTTCATACAAACTTTCTGCCCAGAGAGTTGTGTCGCCTGTATTGGCATGTGAAGTTCTATGCAAATCGACGCTAATTGCTGGACCGTTGTATACGGCAAGGTGCGGCTGCGGCCAGACATGGTTGTTCCGCCCCTCCTTTCGCAGCCACCCTGCTTTTTTTCGTTGCAACGGCGCTGGGAAAAATTCGGAAATTTATGCACTTGGAAGCATATGTGAATTTGGCACTCCGTGCAAAAAGTGGCTTTTCCGCTGCCTTCTAGACCGTTGCAACGAGCAAAGCAAGCTCCGTGTAACTCAAAAACAATAACACAAAGCGCCCTCGGTTAGAGCTCGAGTCAGGAGTTAGTCGGGCTCCGGGAATAATAGTACGATGTTGGCCTGCGCAGGCTGTCGTTGTTTGACACTGCCAACGGGGGGGCCTTGGCGCTACCGTGTATAGGCCTCAGGGTGGCTTTCACTTTTCGCCTCAACGACTTTCGCAGCCAATAGTGAAGATGCACTCAGCCATGACATGACCAGGACGGGTGGGTTTTTTTCTATCGGGAAGGATTCCTGCCGTTTCAGTTTTGGCGTAGCTTGAGCTTATCTTGTAAACGGCAAAGACGGTCTAGACGAATGTGACCCGGTATGCTTCTTGCGTTGCCAGGTGATAGCGGGTGACTACGTGTTTTCGTTTGGATTGTTTTCGAGTGTTTGCTGGTGGTGTTTCCTACATTGGTCGTAAGGGCATTCGAATTTGGAAGGTGTTGTTAGTTAGCGCAGAGATCTGACTGCTTGTCTCACATGTGATAGTTGCACACACACGCCAGAGGTTTTAAAATAGCCTAGTAGGGTAAATCTTTTGGAACTGACGCCTCGCCAGCTTCTATATTAATTCATCCCTTAATTTGAGGTACGGTCAACTCAGCATTCTTCTCGTTGGACCACCTCTGCCGCTGTTACCCACACCCGTGCGCCCCGAGCCATGAACAACATAAACAAAGCTTCAATAAGATATTTATCGATGTATCCTCCTTTGACGAGAAACTACCTCCCAAATGTCTTTGGTTTGCTTAGGTGGATCGAGCTGCCTGCGTAACTTTCGTGCCCCGCGTAAAGTCCAGCACGTTGCGCAGCCAATTACACCAGACCCTTTTCTCACTTTTCAAGTCACAGCGATTCTCAAACCACCTAGTATCATCAATAATGGCTGGACCTCACGCTAAGACTTACATGGGATGGTGGGGAAGCATGGGCTCCCCCAAGCAGAAGTACATCAACATGTACACTGTTTCCCCTTACGCCACCAGACCTTTGAAGGGTGCTTTGCACAACTCCATCTTCAATGTCTTCAGAAGATTCAAGAACCAGGTTCTCTTTGTCCTCATCCCAGGTGCTATCGTCTACACCATCAACTCCAAGGCCACTGAGTACAACGAGTACTTGTACACCAAGGCTGGTAGAGAGGAGTTGGAGAGAGTCAACGTCTAATGCCACCACCTATTTCATAACCTCGCATCAATACACGGATTAGAAGAGCAATGTGTAGAAAATTGACAAGCTAGAAACGCGCTGTGTTTAGATATTCAGCTAATTGCCGGGTCTATTTACTTGGATCTCTTGTACACCTTACCCAAGAAAGAGGTCAAGACCTCCTTCTTCAAACCTCTGCTCTCATCAAGGTTGTCAATCTGGGCTCTCAAACGACCCACAACATCCTCCTCGTACTCCTGGTAGATCTTTGGAATCTCGAGCTCGTTGAACAACTTCTTGACTCTGGCCTCGCTCTCGTCGTCCTTCTTACCATAGTTCTCGTCCAAAAGCTTACGCTGGTCAGCGTTAGCCTTCAACAAAGCCTGGTTCACCACCCAAGAGCACTTGTTATCCTTGATGTCGGTACCGATCTTGCCGATTTGTTCAGGGGTACCGAAACAGTCCAAGTAGTCGTCCTGGATCTGGAAGTATTCGCCCAATGGGATCAAGATGTCTCTAGCCTGCTGCAAGTCCTTCTCGGAGGTGACTCCGCACACGAACAAAGCCAAGGCCACAGGCAAGTAGAACGAGTAGTAAGCAGTCTTGAAGATAACGATGAAAGAGTGCTTCTCCAAAGAGAACTTGCTCAAGTCCACGTGCTCCTCGTCAGCAGTAACCAAGTCCAACAACTGACCCAACTCGGTCTGGAAAGTAACCTCGTGGAACAAGTCCAAAAGGTCAACGTAGTAAGGGTCCTCGCGGAAGTGCTTCTTCAACAACATGTAAATGGCACCCTCCAACATGAAAGAGTCGTTGATGGCGATGTTACCCACACCAGGCTTCAAGTACCAGCATGGCTGACCTCTTCTGGTCTTGGACTGGTCCATCATGTCGTCAGCGACCAAGAAGTACGCCTGCAACAATTCGATGGCCCATCCCAAAATAGCCACCTTCTTGTATTCTTGAGCCGACAAGTCCTCGACCTTGACATTCTTCAAAATACAGTAAGTGTCAATGACAGAAAGACCTCTGTTCAACTTACCGCCTGGAGTGTTGTAGTACAATGAGTTGGTGAACCACTCAATGGCCTCCTGGGGCATGTTATAGTTGACCAAGATCTCCTTGAGCTCGGTCACAAGGGCGTCAAATTCGCCAATGAATTTCTGTTTAGCAGCGTCCTTGTCCATTTGGGTGTATAGTTATCTCTATTAAGTATGGTCCACGAACCTCAATTTTCGCTCGTATAACTCGCGTTTCAGACCCGCCAAGTGGTCCAGCCACGAATAAAGGGCCTCATACGTGGTGAAATTGAAGAATGTCAATTTCAAAGAATTTTAGAGTCCCTTCACGTTTTTGAGTTGATAAGGCAAACTCTACAGATGGATAATTACAAGGGTGTACATTTCGTGACGTCTTCTATCAATTCCTATTTCGCAGCCTAGTGCGCTCTGTTACGCTTGCTTTTACCGGGCCTCGAGCCCTTACCCTTGCCTTTCTTACCAAGGTTGTATATGTCAGCAGACGAGTCAGCGTCATTCTTCCTCAGACCTCTCTTCTTACCACCGAAACCGTACTTAGAGTCCTTCGCCAAACGCTTACCATTAGGCTTGTTCCTCTTGGTAGGTCTGTCATCAGCAGTGGCCTCTTCCAATGCAATCTGAAATTCGTTGTCGTCTTCAAGCTCGTGTGCGCTTCTCTTCTTCTTCAAAGACTTGATCTTGTCAAGAGTCTCTCTCTTTTGTTTGGCTCTCTGTTGCAAAGTCTCATGCTGCACCTGCTTACCAAACTTCTTCAACTTCCTCTGCTTCTTGGCGTCCTCAGATGCCTTCTTGTCAGCAGCCTCCTTCAACAACTTGTTCTTCAACTTGTCCATGTGCTCATCAGACTTAACCATCTCAGCAAAGTAATCAAGAGGACGGGAGAATGGAACCTTCAATTTCAAAAGCGTGGCCCTGCCTTGCTTCACGGCATCCAAACCCTGCTTGTAGAATGCAAGCTCTCTTTCTGTGTCGTCATATATGTCCTTGATGCCAGCGTCAGTGTTCTCTGCACTGACAACAGATTGATGCTCGATAAAAGAATGCTTCTCCCATGGCAATTTGATTCTCACAAGAGACTCTTTCAATGCTGCAATATTGTTGATTGTGAGCTTGGAATGAGGAACAACATCAGTGTCGGAATCAAGTTCCACATCAGACAAAGGAACGTCCTCGGCCTCCTCGGCCTCTGGGTCTTCCTCTTCCTCAGCTTCTTCCTCTTCTTCCTCGTCGTCATCTTCATCATCGTCTTCACTTTCGAGTTCACTCTCGCTCTCAGATGCAGCTAGCTTCTCAAGATCCAATTCTTGTTCCTCCTCCTCGTCGTCATCTTCAGCTTCGCTATCAGCCTTCTTGGCCTTAGTTTCAGCAGCTCTTTTCTTCATCAATTTTTTCAACATTCTCTTCTCCTTGTGGGACAAGGGGGCACCTTCGTTGGGAAGATCCGCGATGTCCTCTTCAACCTCTTCATCGCTCTCTGATTCCTCAACTGGAGCAGCAACCTCCTTCTTTGGCTTTTGGTCCTTAACCTTAGGCTTGGAAGCAGCCTCTTGTTCTTTTTGGTGCTTCAAAGCAGCCTTCAATTTTCCTTTTCCCATAGCCTGCGAGTACCAGATTCAACCTGAACAAATTTGGAATGCGATGAGCATTGATAGTATGGTAGTGCGCGGTACATAAATGCACTAACGATCAACGAAAGGTGTATTCCGCCTCATTCAAGAAAGTCTTTCCACTACCGTATCTCCACCATCTGGGAATGCAACTAGGCGGTCTTACTTCCATTCCCTTCAATGGCTCGCCATCAAAAGCTTTATCTCGGCAAATGCATCTTTTAGCCATGAGAACATCTTCCGATGTGGGACAACCCATGTATGGGGCATGGTAATATCCGATATCCTCAAAATGATAAATCTCATCTCTATCAAGAAGCAAAGACACACCAATTGTGTGTACTGGAGCGTCACCCCACCTTTCGTAGTAAAATCCTCCGCTTTTATCTAAATGATCAAAGTACGCACCGTAAGCCTCACCTCGGAAAAATTCGAGACTAGCGATCTCAAAGTTTGACCAAAAATGACACAAGTTGTAGAGGTGCTTGTGTGGATTATCAACTCCAAAGAAAACATCTGTTTCATTTGTAGTCAAGAAATCGTATGCATTATTAGGGTGGAGATGTTGCGGATACTTTTCGATAAACTCCTCCACCGTTGGCCATAGTGTCGGTATAGTGTTCTCATAGTCCGGAAGAGCTAGCACAAAACCGTAAACTTTCTTGTTCTCACGCATGACAGTGAAGGGATCGTATTGAAAGTCACACATGTATTCCACATCCGGTTCGACTCTGAAGTACCATTCGTAATTGAGTAGCCTTTTCTGTCTGTAGAAGTAACCTGAATTGAAGTGACACATGTTTCTGTAAGAGCGAGACGGTCCGTATATAACGTCCCAGGAGTTTTGGAGATTGTGCTCAAATTTGTCTTTATCTATATGAGCAGGCATATTCCAGTCTTCCGGTGGAATTAGCTCATAATATGTCTTTCCGCTGGCCATCATGGTGGTCTTGTCGATGAACTCCTGATCAAAAGGCACATCATTGAGGAAGACCCAAGGGTATTTATAATCCTTATTAAAACGGTCCTCGAGAGATCTCATCAGATCTAAAGCTCCTTTAAGCTCCAGGTTCCTGACGAGCATCACGATGGTGGCATTTTCTCTGCCTATCTGCTGCCTATCTTTACCAAAGTGGACCTCTTCAAAGAAGGAATTGGAGCTTAGCTTTTGCTGGCCAATATGAGCGGGATTATATTGCTGTAAGCTTTGAAGTATACCATTTTTGGAGCTCTTTGCAGGGCTCCAGGTCTTTATCTTCTCCCATATTGGTGGCTCGTTCACTGGATAGAGTCTGCTATTGAGCGCATTGTCGTGGAATTCATGAAATTTGTATGACTCTCTCGGTATAAGTAGAGCGAGCGCTAGAAATGCCACCGAGACAAAGGTAAGGTAGACCATCACAGTGTTGAAGATCTAAAAGGTTCGAGTATGATGGCTTGAAGTCGCACCAGTACATCTTCGGAATCATGAAGTATGAATTCTTCGCCTTGATCGACTTGAAGTTTCCACTTCAAGAAAGCCAGGTGCTTTTGTCGTTTCCAACTTTTTCTAAAGGCTCAATTATTGCTTGCATCAACTCGAAGAGAATCAGTGATGAGGCTCCGAATGAGCATGAAAGCATTCGGACCTAACGTGTAATTTTTATTTTCTTCATAAAACGTAGTTTCACGAAACCCAATATCAAAACACTCTTACTTCCTTCTTGTCTATAAGTTTAATTGTCCACGGCAGATCGGACGCTGTTTGGGGAATAGCGGTTTTTCGCAGCCAAGTTGCCAGAGTCAAGTCCGGACACCGAGAATTTCCAAACAAAACGGCGTCAAGATAATTACAAATACCTTACATCTCAAGAATTTAAAGATGTAGTCATTTTCCTCGACAGATGATTTTGTGTGCCATCTAGCCCCAGTGCCTGCCACTTTACATTCAATACGTAACGTCATCAATTGTTGTCACGTGATCATGTTCTTGTTTGCCAATTATATTGACCATTTTTCTGGTATTAGCCGAGAACAGACATGTAGTCCAATTTTTTTACATCCGATAAATCTACCTAAGGCAAAATTAATTCTCCGGATTGTAATTTGTATTGTTCGAGAAAGCCGCTCGTCAACTGGCCAATGGTAGCGCAAGAAAACCAATTACACAGTCCCGCACGCTAGTACCAGTGAGTGGGTAAAAAAGACAAAAAAAATAGTGTACTTGCACCAAGCTAACTACTCGGCTCCACACCTTTAAAATGCTTCGTAACTTCAACAGAAGTGCAAAGAAACTTAATGTCAGACTGTTGGCTACTGCTGCCGACCCTCTGGCCAACCCTAACAGAGTCCATGGTGGCTTGAAGGACCAGGACCGTATTTTCCAAAATGTCTACGGCAACTATGGTCACGACTTGAAGTCCTCCATGAAAATGGGTGACTGGTACAAAACGAAAGAGATTATCTTGAAGGGAGACAAGTGGATCTTGGACGAGATCAAAAAGTCGGGTCTTAGAGGAAGAGGTGGTGCTGGATTTCCCTCTGGCCTCAAATGGTCGTTCATGAACCCTCCAGGATGGGAAAAGAACGTTGGCCCCAGATACTTGGTCGTCAACGCCGATGAGGGTGAGCCAGGTACCTGTAAGGACCGTGAAATTATCAGAAAGGACCCCCACAAGTTGGTTGAGGGTTGTCTTTTGGCTGGTAGAGGTATGAACGCTACCGCCGCTTACATCTATATTAGAGGTGAGTTCTACAACGAGACTGTCATTTTGCAGCAGGCTATTAACGAGGCCTACAAGAACGGCTTGATTGGTAAGAATGCTTGTGGCTCCGGTTACGACTTTGACATCTACATTCACAGAGGTATGGGTGCTTACATCTGTGGTGAGGAGACCGCCTTGATTGAGTCTATCGAAGGTAAGGCTGGTAAACCAAGATTGAAGCCTCCATTCCCTGCCGGTATTGGTTTGTTCGGTAGACCATCCACCGTCACCAACGTCGAGACTGTTGCAGTTGCCCCTTCCATTTTGAGAAGAGGTGGCGACTGGTTTGCTTCTTTTGGTCGTGAGAGAAACGCTGGTACTAAGTTATTCTGTATCTCCGGTCATGTCAATGAGCCATGTACCGTCGAGGAGGAGATGTCCATTTCATTGAAGGAGTTGTTGGAGAAGCACTGCGGTGGTGTCAAGGGTGGTTGGGACAACTTGTTGGGTGTTATCCCTGGTGGATGTTCCGTTCCAATCATGCCCAAGGAGACTTGTGACAACGTCTTGATGGACTACGATGCCTTGAGAGATGTTGGTTCCGGTTTGGGTACCGCTGCTGTCATTGTCATGAACAAGCAGACCGACATCATCAGAGCTATTCAGAGATTCGCAGCATTCTACAAGCACGAGTCTTGTGGCCAGTGTACTCCATGTAGAGAGGGTACCACGTGGTTGCAGAAGATGATGGACAGATTTGTCTCTGGCCAAGCCACCGTTAAAGAGATTGATGAAATCTTCGAGCTCACCAAGGAGATTGAGGGCCACACCATTTGTGCCTTGGGTGATGCTGCTGCATGGCCTATCCAGGGTTTGATCAAGAGTTTCAGACCCGTCATGGAGGAGAGAATTGCCGACTACCAGAAGCAGCACAATGTTGAACTTGGTGGCTGGGTACCATCTGGTAAGATTCTTGATGGTAAGGTTGCCGACAACCCTATTCCTGCCCACCACTAAGCTTGTCATTCCGCTCGCACTATTCAGCACACCACACACTGGTACCACTGGGGTTCCTCTGGGGTTTGGCAAAACCTCGACTTGCATTCATTAGAACGTTCTTCTGTGTATATCTAATCACCACTTTTACGTCAAATCTTCCTGTAATCCTTAAGTCCTTTAATCCTTCATGTGCGCACATCACATAAGAGCGCAACGACTAGACCTCTTCTCAGACGCTGATGCCTCTGATGTCCGTGAAAAAGCCAGAAGTTGGAAACAAGGATGATGTGTTTCCAAGGACTAAGGCTAGAAGTGGAAAAATACTAGAAGATCTCGACGATGATGTTCTCAGGGTGAATAAAATCAAGAAGGAGCTCAAGAAGAATCATCAGGTCAAGGAACCCACTGAGGAAGATGACCAGTCCTGGCTTGAACAGTCTGAGTTTTACAAAAATATCGACACAAAGTCTTTCAGGCAATACGATTTAGCCTGCTCCCGTGTTAAAGACTTTTACGAAGAACAACATGAAAAGCAGACAGTAGCTTACAACATTCAAGCGAGAATCAACTTCAAGACTAAAGTGAGGGCGAAGATGTCAGTTTGGGAAGGCCTAGAAAGACTCAATAAGCTTCTTGATGAAAGTGACCCGGACACAGAGCTCACTCAAATCGACCATGCTCTACAGACTGCTGAAGCCATAAGAAGGGATGGAAAGCCACGATGGATGCAGTTAGTTGGTCTTATACATGACTTGGGTAAGCTTCTTTACTTTTTCGACTCCAAGGGACAGTGGGACGTTGTTGGGGATACATTTCCCGTTGGATGCAAGTTCCTGAAAAAGATCATTTTTCCCGATAGCTTCTCCAAGAACCCTGACTTCTTTAATCCGCTTTACAACACCAAATACGGAATTTACTCCAAAAACTGTGGTCTAGATTCCGTCATGCTTTCGTGGGGTCACGATGAATACATGTACCACATAGCCAAGGCAAACTCCACGCTACCGCCAGAGGCTCTTGCCATGATTCGATACCACTCATTCTACCCTTGGCACCAGGAAAGAGCTTACAGCTACTTGATGGATGACCATGACAGAGAAATGCTCGAGGCGGTGAAGGCATTCAACAAATACGACTTGTATTCGAAAACGGATGAGCAGTATGATGTGGATGAGCTACAGAAGTACTACAAAGCTCTCATTGACGAGTACTTCCCGGAAAAAATCATTGAATTTTAAGGAAAAAAGGCTACAAAAGGTTGGTTGGGTTCATTAAATATTTTATTTCTTCATATTATTGTATAAATGCTAAGTTATTTTGATGCAGAAGGTCGCTGTAGAAGCGGAAGATAAACGAATGTAGAAAGTTAAAAGAATCCAATGACTCCGAAAGCCTGTTCAATACCATATGGACCAGGGTCCTTCCAGTAGTCGTTGAACGAACTCAAGATAGTGCAGTCGCCATCAGTGGCATCCACAATGGACTTGAGAGCAGCATATTGGTTTGAAAGCGAAGGAACGTTGTTACCGTTTTTAATACCCTTGGATGGGTAGCCTGTCTCTGTGATGACCGTCTTCTTAGAGCAGATCTTGGCGATTTCCTTCTGCTGAGAAGCGACATACTCGCCAGCCTCGTCAGCATACAAGTTGGTGTTAAAGTAGGAGTGGGAGTTGATACCGACGAAGTCGATGTCGGAGTCAGTGCACAACTCGGGGTGTTTTCTGTAGATGATTGGTGGCTCGGATGTGGTAACCTTACCCTTGTAGCCAGCATCCTGCAACTTCTTCTTGACACTCTTGATCTTGGCAATCAAGTTGGAGACGGTGTCGTAACCCTCAATAATGGCCTCGTTACCAATGGTGATGTAGTCAAAAATGTCCCAACCGTTCTTGTCTGCGTAGTCGATCAAGTTGGTGACAGAGTCGTCAATTGAGTCAACACCTTGGTCAGAAATCCAGAAGCCCTGGTTCACAGTGAAGCCCAACTTGGAAGAGAGTGGAAGGACGGCGCTGAGAATGTTGCAATCAACACCGTAAGTTCTGATCTTGGAGAAGCCCATCAGCTTAAGGAAGATCAAGTCAATCAGAACCTCGGCATAAGACTTACAAGAGCCATCGTTGGCGTATGGCGAGTAGACAATGACATCTGGTCTCTTGAGCTTGTTGAGCGCCAGAGAGAACTTGTATCCGCTTTGGGAAGCAACAGACAAAACGTTAGCACCACCTGAGGCAGAAGCCAGAGATGACTCGGTGGTGGAAGCAGACGTACTAACCTCAATTGAGGTGGACGAAGGAGAAGCAGTAGTCTGGGAGTTGTCATCGTTGTTACCAGTTGAGGTAGTCTGAGCAGCAGACGAAGTAGAAGCAGCGGTAGAAGTTGGAGACGAGTTCTCAGTAGCGGTGTTCTGAGCAGAAGTGCTCTCTGGGGTCTGTTGAGTGTTCTCTGGAGTACTCTCTGGAGTGTTGTCAGGAGTGTTGTCAGGGGTGTTCTCTGGGGCGTTTTCAGTGGTCTCAGCAGTGGTAGCAGTAGTAGTCTCAGCAGGACTGTTAGGCTGAGCATTGTCAGTGTGGGTGGGCTCTGGCTGATCGTCACCACCTGGCTGACCAGCAGCGTAAGATGTGGTGGTGACTGGAGTAGTTGCCCATTGGCCCGAAGTGATGGTAAACGTTGTGGTGCAATCACCAGAGATAAGCACCTCAACAGGAGGCAACCACACAGTGGTGGTACCAGTGGTGTAGAAGTGGGTGGAGGTGACAGCCTCAGCAGTGTGCCAACGAGTGATAACGGCAGGGACTGGTACACCCGTTATACTTTGGATGAAGAATAAGAACGAAAGAATGAAGATCATTTCGAAACGAATGTGTGGGGTTGGTGATCTTTGGTTAGGAAAAAAATATGTGAGTTTGGATGGGAGGGGGGGGATGCATCGAAGACTTTATATGTCACCCGGATCATGCTGGGCCCACGGCTTCGAGCATGGAGCAGCTGTGAGAGCCAGCATCCTTTGATTCTTCTTCAATGACATCAAACATGAATCTGTGGGCCAGTTTTTTTGGCTGCGAAAAAGCTGCAGCACCACCTTCCTAATTGGGCCCGCTTACCCAGCGACTTGCGTCTATGTGCAGTATTGCACCAGCATTAGCCTTTTCTCAGATCTTAGTTTTTCCCTGTCAAACGTGCTGGCGTCCTAATCCGGAAACACTTCAGCTTCTTTCGAAATGAGCCCACGACCAGATCTTGGATCTCGCCCAAATCGATCATAGCCAGCAAACGCCCTGTTCCTGATTTGCTCTCGAAATGGACCAAAATGGGCATTATTCCTGATTCAAGGGTCTTGGTGCTGTAAGAGATTTACGGTTCTCGCCAAGTGAATACGCTTTAACTATGACTTCGACGTCTCGCCGAGAGGTACATCCAAAAGCGTAATCTTATATGACTTTTTTGGAAGTTTCAATTTAAGCTACTTGGTTCGTCTTCTAGTGAGGTGCAAGTAGTATGTTGAGAGCGTAATTCCTCAGAGTGCATTTGCAGCCAGATCAATTGCGGCAAAGAGGATGAGATACGACACTATGCTTTTCGTATTTTATTTTCTTTAATTACACACAATTTGTGTTGAGACAAGTAGAATAATTCTGGTTATATATGAATCGACTTTCCAAGAATTAAATGTTCCGTGTGCAGCTTGATGATCAGTTCAATAAGTCGAGAACAGTTTGCAATTTTTCTTCGCTGAGTTGACCAGAAGTATGCAAGTACTTCACTAAGGCCCGGGTCAACTGGAAAATCTGGGCTGTGGTCAAGTTGAATACGGCCATTTGCAATATTTTACCCAAGCCAATATTGCTAGACGAGATAAATGTCTGGAAGTACAAGTAGGAAAATGAACCCATCAAGAACTGACAGTCAAATCTATCAGTGATACCACCGTGGCCAGGAATAGTGTCACCAAAATCCTTGATACCAAAGGCTCTTTTCAAGCCCGAGGCGAAGAAGCCGCCGAATGGGGCAATGAGAGAAGCAAAAGTAGCAATCACTGCACTGTGGAAATAGAGGGGCTTGAAGGTGACGGTAGTCTGACCCACCCACTCCGCGACGTTATCTGGCAATTGGTAGATTTGTGGGATAAAAACGGGGTTTGGCTCACAGTGAGGGTAATTGTACACAGTGGTGGACAAGTTGGTGGCTGGGCAGATCAAGTAGTCTGACATGGATAACAACCATGCGACCAAGACAGCGGCAGCACCGGTACAAATCCATGCACCGAGGAAACCTTCGACCGTTTTCTTTGGAGAAATTTCAATCAACTGAGTTCTGCCGAAAGTAATACCGCAAAGGTAAGCGAAGATGTCATTAACGATAACAAGGGATGCTGGGACCAACAACCAAATGATACCGTTGAGGATGTTCTCGATGATCAAGTGCGACTGGAAGACCACTAGAAGCAACGTCATGTGGGTAGCGCATAACTGAGCAAACTGGAACTTGTAAAAGCCCTTCTTCAATGTGAAAACAAAGAAGATGAAGCCTGCAATGTAGAGAGAGTAGGCAAGAAACTTGTGACTCTTGTAGAAGAAAAACAATGCGTTGGAAGAAAGAATCTCGTCCTGGAGGAATTCAAAGACCGATTCACCGTCGTAGTAGTAGACAGTACAGATCAAGAAGTACCAGTTCAATGACTTGTTCCATGGGATGTTCTTATCTCTGGCCGGCTCGGCCGTCAAGGCAATGATCTCTTTGAATGTGAGAATCTGACACAAGATGACAAAGCCGATGAGGGGCAAATGGCCGCTGGCTAGAACGAAAAGGAAGCCCCCAAGCATGACGAGAGACCAGATTGTTCTGGTGATGAGGGCTTGTTTCTTCTTTTCATGATCGTTGTACACTATAGGAGGTGGAGTGGCCTCGCTGCTCAGTTTCTCCAGAGGCTTGCTTGCCTTTGTAGTTTGCTTTCTATCCTTTGCCATAATGCACTATTGTGGTTTGAGTTTCTAAAGGAAGGAAGCAATTGTGGTGGCAGCACGATAACCTAGACAGCAGTGGAATTAGATTTGGAGACCAGATGATTTGCCGGTTTTGTTGAACTCACTTTTGTCGAGTTTCCTGCAGATGCGAGGAGAGAATGCCAGTGCGCCCGTTGTGTGAATGGTAGGGTGAAAAAAGTTTGGTAGCGATAATCTGCAACTGGTTGCGGGAGAGTTCCTGAAGAGGGAATTTTGACAGTCTGGCGAAGCAACGGCAAATAAATACACGCGAGGGGTGTGAGCACGTCCGTGATTCTCCGCAGGGCAGACGGATCAAGCCTGAAATATTTCCTCACCATATTTTGCACATGGTTTTTGCAGTACCTTCCCGTACTAGCGATGTGCGTTATCGTGCCGACTTGACGGCAAGAGCATCACTTAATTTAGCGGAACGGGTAACTGAGAGGTCGTGTGATGGGGAAAGGGGGGATTTTTGAGTAGAAGATGGCACATGTGTTAGGAAGAGTATATAAGACATCGTAGAAGAGCGGCTGACTGTAGTGGGAATTTGTTGGTAGTTGCTATCTTTCGCAACCGTTGATCTGCCACTGATACAGGGATAAATGATAAGGAAGAGAAAATTACTTTTCTTGTGGACAGACATATCCACATAATATCAATTCAGAATTGGTTTGGAAATATTTTATTTTTCCATCGAATGAAAATTTACGGCAACTGGCGTGGAGTTTCCGGAATTCACGTTTTTGAGCTGATAATGCGCAGTCCATGAATTTATATGAGGGGATTAGAAAAACCACTAACAAGTGACTCCTCAAAAATTTTTATCACCACTAGCTGAACCATGGGGGCAAAATCACCCAGACCTTGTTTTTCACGGAATTCATGTCATGTTAACGACATATGACCCCCTTACAGCATTTCCTCTGGATTCTGCGACATTTTGGCACGACATGTCGCACTTTCATCAGGTCAGCTAAAAATTCCTATCTTTACATTTTCATCAACCGAATAAAGCTCAACCAGAGAACCAACCACCCTTTTATGTCTACTATCCAAAACTTAAACTCTTTCGGTATGTGTCCTCATTATCATGCGCTACTTTGTTCCCCTACTAACCTCAGACCCATTCGCCGACACTGGTGATTCCGAAGCTCAAGCCACAAACTACATCCATATCCGTATTCAACAGCGTAACGGTCGTAAGACCTTAACCACCGTTCAGGGTGTTCCTAATGAATATGACTTGAAGAAGATTTTGAAGGTTTTGAAGAAGGACTTCGCCTGTAACGGCAATATCGTCAAGGACTCCGAGTTGGGTGAGGTCATCCAGATGCAAGGCGACCAGAGAGTCAAGGTGTCTGAGTTCTTGATCACCAAATTGCAGTTGCCAAAGAAGAACATCAAGATTCACGGTTTCTAAGTGAGTTTACTAGGATGTCACTGCTTTTGGTTGTGTATCTTAATACATCTTCGGATGACTAATAAAGAGAAATTCGTATAGAATTGTAGAAAATCGACACAGACATGATAAAAACGAAATATTCATGCGTTGGAGAGTGGCGATATTCCTGAATATGTGAGACCCTTACCTTATCTCATCGATTCGAGAAGCCGCGCACATAGTATACTCTTCTCAAGATGCCAGGCGATTTGAATTTGAAGAAGTCCTGGAACCCAGCCCTTGTTAAGAACCAGAAGAAAGTATGGGAGAAGGAGCAGGAGGCCTTGAAAGAGCTCAAGGCGATAAAAGAACGGTCCAAGGAAATTGAGCAGGAGAGAGAGAAGGAGGAGATGATAAGACTACAATACGGTGATGACCCCAATGCAATGCCCCACGACAAGAAGATTGAACTAAATAAACTTGCTTGGATGTATGAGCATGGGCCAGAGAAGGACAAAGACAAGTTGAACGAATCCGGCTTCCGTGAGGTTGAAGAGGACTTCCTTCTGAAGCTGACGGATGTGGACCAGTTGATCAAAGGAAGTGCTGCTGTGAAGAAAAAGAAAGATCATGCAACGAGTTCATTCGATCGAATCACAAATGTGGGAAAGTCCGCTCCTTCGCTGTCTTTCTCGGATGACCCGCTATTGGCCATTAAACGCGAGCAGAGGAAGCGAACATCAGAAACCAGGAGCAATGATAAGTCAGAGAGACATTCCAAACACCGTCATAGAAGTTCAAGCTCTAATAGAGAACGCTCACCGAGCCGAAGACACCGTGATAAGGAGACTGATAGACACAAACACAGAAGGCGACATGAGGAAAAGCCTCATCAAAGAAGAGATGAACCGAGGCACGCTATAAACTATTGATTATGCTAAAGATATGCTATATTGGCCTCCATCCTGATTATGGATGTCCCCGCCGACCGACCATTCGTACCAAAGCTTGGTGTTGACACTTCGCCTCGCCATTGTCACTGCAATCCTGGACTCAACCGGCCTTATTGGGAATACCATCGGATACCAGGAAGAGCAAACATAGGTGCTGGCATCCACATACAAGTTGGATATGCTGACGTGCCCATATAGGTCAGCCTTGAAATACCCTTGAAGTGCATTTGCAACATCTGGTAAGTGAAAATCGAAGTTAGCCAGCCATACCTGATCAAGGCTGTTAGATCCCGGAAAGTCAAAATGGAAAACTGATGAAGCAGCTCCCACAGCAAACTCCTGATCAGATTTTAATAAGTATGGTCTTTTGATATTTTCATCCATCAATGAGCAATAAATTGGTCTAAGGAAACAAGTAATTGATTGTGGAATCATGATGGCAGCTTTAAATCCGGTGAGTATTTCAGGGCAGGCTTCATTGCAACCGAATGAGCCGAGTAGTTCAGATATGACAATGTCAATGTGACCGAGAGAGCTTGAGATTGACCTGACGTCACCCTCATAAATACAAACCTTACCATCCCAGAGCTTGGAATTGTCTGATTTAAGTTTGGAAATACACTTGGGATTTCTCTCGACGGCAATAACATCAGCTTTATCCCTGTATTTTGCAGCCATCGCAAGAAGAGGACCCCGGCCAGGTCCAATAACTAGAATTGTGGGACGATGAGACGTTTGATGAATCAAGTCCGCAAAAGCCAAGTCAATTGCCTCGTCATAAGCTTCGTATTTCGATTTATCTTTCTCAAAAGTTTCGTATACCTCGAGCAGCATCTCTTGCGTCAAGGGCTGTAGAGGGTCGATGAAGTAATTCAAATATTCTTGTTGCCTCAATTGACTGGATATGTTTCTTGCTAATATTCTCGTCTTTTCGACATTCTCAGGATCAATATTCTCGGGAAAAAGAAGTAAGTCTGGTTCATGTCCTTTCATGGCCAACTGCTCGCAATGTTCATTAGCCACAACCGCCAGATATTTGAGACACATATAACGCTGTGTCCAGTTGGGCTCTAATTGAGTCGTCTGGATCAAAACATAGTCAAACAGACTCTGGAAACGCCGTAGCAAGGTCCAAAAATGCCAATCCTCGACTACAGGTACTGCAACTACGAATGTGGCATCAAGTTGGGATAATTTCTCGAGGAATTTTTCCGGAGGGGTGTTCAAGGGGAGGTTGATTAGGAATGACGTTCCATGAAGCGGTTCGAATTCCGCCAACGACAGTAGATACACATGCGAGACCTTTTTGGAAATAGATGTGGCAAGAGGTAACGTCGGAATGAAGAATGAAAAGCCTTTTTCTTGAAGTTTACTTTTTTCGGTAACAACAGCCCCGACTCTAGTCATGGTCTGGACCCAAACAACCTTCCCTCGATTGGTTATGCACCCGAGGGATCTCTGAATGAGGGAGACGCGATCGCGGTCACGTGACATAACAGCGTTCTTTAGACCTTTTTTCCTCCGAGAGGGAGAGTCTGGCTGTAGCCGAACTTACCTATTCTTTATTACCCAATCCCAGCACGCCTCAATTGCTAACTATCTCGGTTCACCTACATTATGAGCAGGCCAAGATACTTGACGGACGCGGAAAGAGCCAAGGTGCTCGAATTTCTGGACATGATTCACTACAGTCCTAGATATAGCGACGACTCGAACGAATATCGACACGTAATGTTGCCCAAGGACATGTTGAAGGTTATTCCACAGGACTACTTCAACCCAGAAACAGGAACATTGAGAATATTGTTGGAGGAAGAGTGGCGAGGATTGGGCATTACCCAGTCCTTAGGATGGATGCACTACGAGACACACGCGCCAGAGCCACATATACTACTTTTCAAGAGACCCATCAACTACGAGAGTTAATGTATATAGAAATGATGAGCAATGATGAATGCCTCACTGTAGCAACGTATGGTTTGTATGGATGTTGATAGTGCGCTCGCATCAAACAATCATCATCCTACCGCGATAGGCGATACTACAATGTCAAATGCATATCTACGAACAACGCCCGAGGAGTTGACGTTGTTCCTAGACGACGTGAAAAAGAATGTGACCTCCGATGAGGATACTGATTTCAAAAAACTCCTACTATACCTCTATGGCTTTGCGAATGCCAAGTTGGAGGCTCTACGATCAGAGAAGACCTCTGGTGGTCCATCCCCCACGATGAACCTCCTGCTAAGGCTAGTGGACACCATTGCATTGGTGCTCTCTAAAAAGAAGCACTTACTTAATGCTGAAATCACACCGGATGAAGTATCACTGGTTCTCCTAGATACCAAGACCGTACCTGTTCCCTTCGGTATTCAGAATGTGTACGAATGGGGCATACATTTTTCCATGAGCTGGTTACTGCAATTCTCAAACAACATGGATGTCACGAACATAATAAAACTGCTTCTTATCGGGCTCATCAACAGCGTCACTGTTCATGTTAATGGGTTCAAATACGCCAGACAAGTTCAAGTGGCATTGGTGCGGATTCTCAAGGAAAATGTCGCCACGCTCTTCAATGGAGTTAATCACTTGAGGAGTCAGATAAATACCTTGAACGCTACTGTGCACTTGTTAAGTATAGTCAACGACTATGACGTCCAAAGAAAGCTTCTACTCACGTCCAACGCGACCAAACTTGAGCTCGAGGGATTCACGAAACGCGTGTGTTTTGTGCTTGATGCCCTCGATTTCCATGACAAAGATGATGACCTTATTCCTTTATCTGATAATCTCAAAAGTGTACTACTATTGGGCATGACGAGTAACCTTCTATTGGACGAAAGCCTTAAATGGTCACAAGTGACCTTCCTTATGACCTGGATCCACAAGCATCTTGAGAGTTTTAGAAAGAGCGGACAAATAGCTTTCCAATTCAAGTATTTCAACAAGGCGTTGTGTTCATCTGTCATGAGGATTTATGTCTTCTGCCGTCGAAAGAGCTTACTTCATAATTTTTTCAGCACCTTTGATATTAACGTCTTCGAAGAGCAGCACACCGTGAACAATATCGAGGAGATCTTATCAGCTTCTCGATTCCCACCATCTATAAAGAAGTTGTCCCACTTACTTTTGCATCAACAGTCAGTCATCACTCAAGTGCCACTTCCACCAAACGCAGCACTTCTAGCATCCCTTCCATTTGTCGACGCCGAGCTCGACAATCTCAGAACACAGATCCTAGATGAAGACCGACCTGATATAAATAAGGCTCTCCACTTCATTACAGATCCCCAAACATCTTTCAAGAGATATCTTCAATCACATAGCCAAGATAGTCAGCCCCATATGAAGCATTGGCTCGATTACATACTATCACTCGCTCAAATGACGAAATCACAGTCTGGGAGACTGCCGTTGGCTGAAAATTCATCCTTGCTTACATTCATTAATGCTCTTGGAAAAGCTTTTGCGATTCTTTCTGAAAATTTCAGCTACAAGAGTTGTGAATCGATTGCCTTTACAAAGCTTTGCTCTCGAAACCCATACAGCGATATTTCGCCAGATCGACCTTCAATCGCGGATGGGTCAAATGTTGATATAATTTATCGAGAAATCATTTGCGATTTACTACTTGATGTCAAGAGGAAGGCGATTATGGAGGACTCGTCTTTGCTTGTGGGTTTTTTACTTATCTTTTTTGACCTCTTCGCCTTATTCAAACCATTGACGAAAGACATCGAGCAAGAGCCATGCCATATGTTCCTCCTTGAGTGCGTCACTACAAGTCCCTGTCGTGAAGCTCGTCTTATTGCTGCGAGGGTTCTTCCACTTTATTTGATTCACCGCCAAGATGACTACCTGGAGAAGGTTTTTAAACTCACTTTTCTGGCGCTATCTAGGATTAAGTTCAGCGACCGCCATCATATCCACCTTGCAGAATCTACCTTAATGGCGCTCAGTGAGTTGGCCATCGTCTGTGAGGGTGAATGGTTATGTGTTATCTTCATCAAGATGATTGACTGTTTTGGCGAAGTAAATGAGCAACACGTCAATCTCGCTTACAATTCACTTCTTTACGTCGCAACGGCGAAATCATTGACTCCATACAAGCTTCTTTCTCCATACTTACCAAGTATTGCCGAGAGAATTGTGAAGAAGCCGAGAATGTTCTCAAGAATTACTGGAATATTAGGAATATCCAAAAGGTTCTTTTTAAACCAAACAAGAGACTACACAACTCCACGGCTCCTTGAATACTACAAACATGATTTTGTGCAAGAAATTGCTGATGCCTGCAACATGGATAAGACAAAATTGGTTGCCAAAACACTCCCGAGAATCATGGCAACCTATCTTTGCAAGGACGAAGTCATCAATTCAGAATATATTGTCAACGTCTTAAGCAATGCAAGTCCGCGGTATCAACATCTTTCTATAACAGATTTGATCCCGAATATTGGGGAAGTTTTATGGTACATCCTTCTTCAAATTCAACTCGACGAGCATGGACAAATTGCCAACGAAACGAAAATATTCGGTGCCATCAAGTACATTGCAAAGGTCAATTATGCGAAAAGATCAAATCAGAAGCCTGACTCACAAAAGTTTGACTATGTCAGATATATCTTGGGTGAACATGTTCTCGAACTCGTTCAACGATTCTCAGAGAATGTACATCACATGAAAGGCATCAAACCATTCCTTGAAAAGGTCAGCTCTCTAAATGCCATTCATTTTTTGATTACTCGAAACATTGAGGCCGCCGCGTCAGCATTGGGGCAAATTTCGACATGCTTGCAGGCCTCACTTGAGAATTCTTCTCTCGAGGTGCCAGCTATACAATGTTGGAATGTACTCGTACAGAAACTTGATTCGGAAAGACTTGTTTCTTTGTTTGATATCACAATCTCATTGATTTTCCAGAGATTCGATACTTTGCAACACAAGTCAAAACAGATTGCAGTGAAAATTCTTGAAAAGTTATTTCTTGAGCTACGTGATAGATACAAGAAGTATGCGCTATACTACTTCTCTGTTCCATTCATCAAAAATTTGGACAAATACTTAATCTTGGATGCGACCTTCATCAGTTTGATGAAACCAAGATCAAAATTGAGTTACTTTCCTGAATTCACAAGGAGACTCCAAACAAACAACAAGTACGTTGTCCAACAAGCTCTTGATGATCTACTCAATTTCACTACGAAGTACCAACTCAATTGTCAAAGAGATGACTTCAAAGACTCTACTTGCGAAGATGCAATCTCGATTTTAGTCAGAACACTCCTTGATGTCTCAGTGCAATTCAAGAACAAAAATCCTCTGATTCCCAGCAAATGTGCAAAAGTCTTAGCAAGCATCGGTGCTTTGGACGCGAATAGGTTCAATTTCAAGACCATCGATTCAAGAATTGTCATACTTTACGATTTTCAGGATTATAAAGAGAATGCGGAGTTTTTGAGTGATTTCATCAGATCCCGAGTTATCAAAAATTTCTGGGCGTCAAACGATCCGATTAGACAATTGTTTTCCGCCTACTCGATGCAAAGATTCTTGAACGTGATGGGTTTAGACACCTCTGTTTTGGATTCCTCTAACCTGGGAATTAGAGCGGAAGTCTGGAATTCATTTTCTGAAATTGATAAATCAACTTTGACGCCTTTGCTTTCTTCAAAGTACTTTGCCCCAGAACCTCGGTATGAGCCACTATCATTTCCATACTTCAAGCTCGGTATGAAATACGACAAATGGCTCGTTGACTTCACAACGAATCTTTTGAGAAGGCCACTTCACAATAGCCTCAAGCAGCACGGAAAGATGATGTTGGCTAAGACTGTCATATTTCAAACCTGCTCATTGCTCATCAGGGACGATGAAATTTCTATCGCTCAATACTTGTTGAAGTATGTTGCATTGAGTCACATAGTCAATGGCGAACAACAAGCGAGAAAAGATATTCTTGATGAGATCCTCACAATACTCAAACTTGGCGTCGGTCAAAATTTGACAACAGAAAGGATGGAAGAACTCAAGGCATGTTATCAAGCTGTTTTCGAAGTCATCGATTATTTGAATGAATGGGTTTCCTCTGCAACGCATAAGTTAAGTGATTCCACGCTACCAAAGGCTGATGCATCTATTCTAAAGAAGAGTCGTGAACATGTCGAGAGCTTACTTAATGAAATCCCAATGGAACTCATAGCGCTCACATCTTCTGAATGTGATTCCTATGAGAGGACCATTCTTTATCTCGAAAAGTGTTCTCGAGAAGGCAAGGTCAAGACTAATAATCGGCTCGATAACCTTAGCATCACTTCAACTTTGCAATCCGTATACTCAAACATTGACGATTACGATGCCTTGGACGGTGTATTGAAGAAGTTTTCCACTGACAACTTGGCAGAGAAGCTCGACACATTTCAGTATAATGAGAATTGGGCAATCGCGCAAGAGTCATTCGAGGTCCTCAGCGATATTGGTGGATACGACGATCGAATTGAATGTAATACAAAGCTACTTAAGTCTTTGGCAAGTCACGGACTCTATGACCAAGTTATTCAGCGCTTGAACTCGAAGGTGAAAAAGATCAGTCAACTACCACCACCTTGGGGCATGGTTGGTCTCGAAGCTGCAACTGCTATTGGAAACACGGAAGAGATGAAAAAGTGGCTGAAGCTCACTAGAATTATCGGAAGTGGCTCTGACGTGGAAGATGTTTTCCATTCAAAATTTGCATCAGCACTTCTTGCGTTGGGACAAGGTGAAATGACCACCTTTGACTCTTCAATCGAGGAGATCTATTCTTTATTGGGCCAGTCGCTTTCGCTGTCTAGATCGTCCTCGTTCTCAAGGAATTCGACATTCATGTTGCAGCTACACATATTATACGACACCGCTGCAATCGTCCTTAATAACGGTAGCCCTACCGATTCGAGTGCTGAACAAATATTGAAGGAGCGGATGAGCAATACTGACCTATCGTTCGATAGCCAGTGGACCGTTTTATCTATGAGGAAAGCAGTGACGGTTGTAACTGGAAACTTGGACAATGTGTCAGATATCCTATTAGATTGCTCTCGGATTGCCCGTCGAAGTGATAGGTTAGACCTTGCCACAAAGTGTATCATGAACGCAATGACTCTTGATGATAGTGAAGCGAATATTGAGTATGCGAACCTTTTATGGGATCAAGGCAAACAAACCGAGGCTATCAAAACGTTGTCGGATAACCTTGCTTTTCAAAAGTCACAAAAACCAGAGAGACAAGCAAGAAATCAGTTGCAATACGCTATTTGGCTTGACGAATCGAGCCACTCCTCGTCATCAAAGATCATCGCCGAATACTCCAAGGCCTACAAGTTAGATCCCTCGTGGGAAAAGCCCTACTATGACCTTGGAAGATATCATAGTAAGTTGATGGAGTCCCAAAATGACACCTCCGGGTATTTCGAACAACAAATCATAAGATACTTTTTGAAAGCATTGGCATTGGGCCCTTCCTATATCTTTGAGGCCCTTCCCAAGTTCATTACGGTCTGGCTTGATTTTGCTCAACGAACCAATAAGGCTAGAGATGCCGAGAGAAAGCTCAACCAAATTGTTCATGATATCAACACCTATAAAAATACGATTCCAATTTATGTGTGGTATACATCCATCACACAAATACTTTCGAGAATCACACATCAGCATCAGCCAAGTGTCGACCTCATGCAAAGTATCATTGAGTCTTTGATCGCAGCATATCCAAAACACAGTTTATGGTATGTATTGTCGCATGTTAAATCCAAAGATGCTGTGAGACGGCAGCGTGTTTTGAAGGTTCTCAACACTTCCAAAGCGACGAAGCTGCTAGCTGAAACCATTGTGAGCGCAAAAAGTTTGTTCGAAACATTGGAAAGTGTCGCTGCCAAAAAAGTTAAGAAATCACAGAAAAAGCGGTGGCTCTTGACGGAAGATTTTGGAGTAACTGATTTACATAAGAAGTATGACTCGTTGGTTATTCCTGTCAAAACTAATTTGGAGATCAAGCTTCCAGCAACACGTCATACAAGCAAACCGGGATCTGCATTCCCGAAGTCATCCTCGATTACATTTGATGGTTTTGATGAAGAGGTCAACATCTTTCACTCTTTACAAATGCCCAAGCAGATTACAATAAGAGGTACGGATTATAAAGCTTATAGACTCATGTTGAAGAGGGACGATACGCGCAAAGATGCAAAAGTATTCGAGTTCTCTAACATGATCAATAGGCTTTTGTCGTTGAATAACGTTGCCAGGAAAAGAAATCTAGTGATCGAGAACTATTCGGTCATACCCTTGGCCGAGGATATGGGAGTTATTGAATTTGTTCAAGATGTCCAAACGATGAAGTCAGTTATTCATGAGCAGCAAAAGAAGCATGGAAAGGTTCCTCACGATCGAAAGATATTCATGAAACTTGATGAAGCACAGAAGCTTGTTAAAGCGAATTATGCGACAGACGAAAATGCCATGACCGCTTTAGTAGGCCTTTTTGAGAAGATATGCGATGAATTCCCTCCAGTGCTTCACCAGTGGTTTATCGATCAGTTTTCAGACCCAGCTTTCTGGTACCTTGCTCGAAAGGCCTACACTAGAACAGCGGCTGTTATGTCCATTGTCGGATATATTATTGGTTTGGGTGACCGTCACTGTGAAAATCTTCTATTTTTCAAAAGAAATGGCGCTGCACTTCATATCGATTTTGACTGTCTCTTCGAAAAGGGTCTTACTCTACCCACTCCAGAGATTGTGCCATTTAGATTGACTCAGAATATGGTCGATGCGATGGGAATTACAGGAATCGAAGGAACGTTTAGAATCACTAGTGAAGTCACTGGACAAATCTTGAGAGAGAATGAGGCTTCTTTGATGAATATTCTTGAGACTTTAATCTATGACCCCTTGTTGGATTGGAAGACTCAAGAAAACCCACAAGATCACTTGAGAAAAGTGAGGAGGAAAATTCGTGGTCTTCTTGACGAGAAGGAGGGATTGCCCATGAATATTCATGGACAAGTTGATGTATTGATACAAGAGGCCACCTCGAAGGAGAACTTAGCGCAAATGTACGGTGGATGGGCACCATACGTTTGATGTGCAGAAACCATGTATATATGTTGCTATAATTGGAGATTATAGAGAGGCCTCAAGGACGGGGTCCTCCGGTGGAGGTTTGCGATGTAGGGTAGACTTAGTCCTCGACACAGTGGAAGCAAAATCCGTATCCTTTGGAACCAGTATTGAGGAAACTTCGGGTTCAAGAGTGCTAGTCGAATGCTCTTTAACATCGGTTGTAGCCTCGACATTAGCAATTGATGGGTTACTGATCGTTGCCCTACCTTGCGAGGGAACAGATTTGTGGCCCAAGATCTTTTCGGGTACTTCTGAGCCAAAATCGTATGAAAACCCACCACCTGGGGGCGAGCTCTGCACCTCTGTAGCAGTCTTCTCAGTGTCAGAAATCTGACTCGCAGATGATTGCTTTCTGTTTGGTCGACGGTTGGTAATCATTTCGGGACGTTGATAGTTTGATTGCTTGTTGTCGCCATTTTTGTCGTCCTTGTAGTACCACTTTCCAAGTTTGCGAAGTGTGTTGCTTTTCAGGTCGGTTGTTAGATGCTCTTCTTGCTCATCAAGGGTCAACCCGTTTACACTTGGAGTGTCTGACGCAGACGGCTCCATCAATGAGCCATCTGAGAGGCAGTTTGTTTCATCAACACCAAGCGTGTGGGTAGACTTCGCCTTCCTTAGTCTCTTAGATAAGTCATTGATTGTGGATGATAACCGTGTTTTGGCCAGATTGAGTTGTACCGGAGCTTCATTTGTGAGATCTGCTTTGACTGCTAGTGATTCGTCGACCTCAGGGTTTGTAGAAGAAGTAAACGAAACCCCCAGTGCTGAAGTTGTCAGCTCGACCTCAGCACGAGAAGGACTTAATGATCCAGATTGTGGTGAGCTCAGTGCCTTCTTCTCCTCGCTTGCAGTCTGCTCAGTGCGTTCTCTTCTGTATTCTTTGTCCCAAACACCTCCTCTCACCAATTCATTTTCTGTGTTATAGAATGTGAAGTCGTCCCAATGTGGAAGCACAATGGAGGTCCTGACAGATTCCTTGAGCTTCTTTTCAATAGAATTTGTGATGATGTTATACGACATTTGCCTGGAGCTAATGACGGGCTCGATTTTGATATTCATGGCCGGTTCAGTTTCAAATGTGTACCACATTCTGGCTGATGGCGGTGGCTTGATCTTCACAAGCATAGGACCTTGCAATTTCTCAAGTGTCATGGAGAGGAGGACATCAACTTCTCTAGGTTTGAACCGAGAACCCAAGTTGATGTTTACCTTCGTAGCCAACTGGACAGACATTTCACCGAAGTAATGAACATACAATGAGACGAGAAGATCACCTTCGGGATTTATCTCCTTAAGGACTGGAAAGGTGATGAAAGGAGCACCATGTCCTGCTCTTACCTTTGTGATCTGAAATTTGTCAAGAAACCCAGGAGTTTTCATCTTGTTAAGCTTTTTCTCGATCTTGGAAACGAGGTAATTGTGCATGGCATCAGTATGCTGAAGCGAAAGGAATAGACGGTTTATTACGGCATTAAACCACTTCGTATGCAATTGACCCTCGGCACTGTAGAGGGTCTGAATCAAGCCCACCATGTGACGAGTTTCAAAGTGAAGTGTTTTTGCCTGAATGCTGGGATCAAGTGCTGGAGGGGTATCGGACCCTGTTTTGGAGGCCTTGATCAATGTGAAATACCAGTCTTCTTTCTCGATATTGAAGTCTGTGTAGATGAAAAAAGATCCTGGTGGGGCAGGAAGGTTCGATTTTTTGTTCAAAACATCCTGTAGAGTGATTTGTTCGGAGTCTTCCCAGTCAATGTCATCCATAGTACTAGTGTTGTCCGAAAGTCTTCTCTTTCGCTTCCAATCCTTACGCAACAAGGCAATTGAAGAATACTTGGTGAACAATTGACCCTCGGTAATATTCCTTGGCCACAAGGAAACGAAAAAGTTCAGAAGAACAATTACATGCTTGACGTCTTTGAGCCTTTCGTCTCGATACAAGAAGAGGTTCCCATGTTTGAGCACAGCATAGTACCGATGTTTCTTATTGCCACCTTTGGTAGGGGTACCAACCGTTGGGGCTTGCGTGATCGAGGCAGCGTCTGACTCGTTTACCGACGAGATCTCTCCATTGGGGTCCTTCGTTTTTGCCCCCGAATTCTTGACTAACTTGTATAGCGAGGAGTAGGCCAGCTTTCCCTCTTGAGAATCGGCAACCAGTTGGGTCGAAGAGCTTATGTGATCTGGAGACTCCAAAAACTCATGAGTGACGATAATCCATCCTTGTTTGTAGGCATCTAAGCCGGTCAGGCTTTGCTCTTCTAACTCCCCGGCTTTGAGACCTTCTTCTTCGTTATCCTGCGGACCCTTCGGCTGGAGATATAGAAATGCCACTATAAGCAACGGAATGAATGTCACGCCTCCCAATATATAGGCATATATGAGATCTAGAAGGTACATTGCCGTACCGTGTGATGATTGAAGGAAGATATGGTATACGTAAGTATGGGGAATCAGTATGAGACTTCCGAGGGCGAGCAAAGGACAGTAACGTAGCCGAGAGGTATGGGGCTCAGATCCACGTGATATCCGAGGGCACCGGTTATATCGCTCGTCTGTTTAAGAGTTGTATCTACAATTATAGAAATGTATTCTGTTAGTCAAATTATATATATACACTTGTAACACCTTAACCAAAATGAAGTAAAGTCGAGAAATGAAGCATATCCGGTAATCCCGGTCAGTATTATAATTACAAGAAAAAGTCATTAATCATGAGTCTCGAGGTGCCCACCATCTCGCTGGCCTTGCCTGTCATAACAGAGTTTGGGTTCAACATCTTTGACATGTCTTCCGGCTCTGTCCAAGCTCTTTGGTCGCTCAAAGACAAGTTCAACTTGTCATCACGCCTGTAGAATGACACATTGGGGAGCTGTGGCATGAAAGTGGCGCTGGTTGGGGGCAATTCCTCGTGCTCCAGGTCTGTGGGAGAATTTGTAGCTTCATCATCATCGTAGAAAAGGTAATCCTCAATAGAGTTGCCGAGTTTGGGTTGGTTGAAGTTGACATTCTTGAAAAATGGCACCTCTCTGGCTTTTTGGGGCAAGGCAGCTTCGCCGCTTGCATGCTGAGACTTCTTGTTGAGTATGGAGAAGCTTGAGTTGTCGTTGTGAATCTCAATTGGGCTCTTGTACGCAGAGAGGTAGTATGAGCGCAAATTGTCAGTGATGACCTTTGAAAAATCCAACTCCATGTTGGGGTATGGAGAGTTCAAAGGAGAGTCTTCATACTCATATGATGCAGAAGCGTCCGAAGAGACGGATGATGACGAAGTGAGAGACCTTGGGGAAGAGGGCTCGGATGCAGATTCCTCGGCATCCAAGTCAAACAAGATATCGTTGTTGAGGTTAGTCAAGCACAAGAGCTTTTCAACAGGGTCAATCTTGTCGTCTTCAGCCAGGAGCTGGGTCATAGACTTTGACTTTTTTGCTGTTGTCTGTTGTAAGTGCAGCTCATTGAGCGGCTCCGATTTTCGTTTCCGGGAAACGGCATCGACATGTGCTGCTTTGTTAGTGTTGTCCAGGAGGACCTCCTTTGCCTTTAAGGTAGGAGTACGAACGCGACAAGACTTACGGGTCATCAAAGCAGAATTGGTTGTAGCTGGGGAAGTGAAACGAATTGAAGGTATGAATTAAGCGTTGAGCTTTCAGGCGATGCGTGTGGTAAATGTATGAGCTGCTGGTATCAGCTATAAGGGAACCAGTCCTGGGAAAAAAGTAATCTGGGTGAAAACACAAAAGTTGAGGATCCTGAAGGGAGGGGAATTCAGCTCGAATATAAATATGTCCTTGCCTCTGGAAAAAGGGAATGAAAAAAAAAAAAAAAAAATTTAATCGCGCCGCAGACGCCGCACAATTGCTTTGTGCTGTGCAGGATTCTTGCAGGTCGATGATGGATAGGTGAGAAGAAAGAAAAGTGGAATGAGCAGCAATGGGAAGGAGTCCCCTCAGTGGGGGGCTACTCCTGCGGTAGACAAGATCCTAACTTCAATTTGCCACCAAACGGGTTTTCGGTGGAAAATTACCACCCAAAATGCCGCTTCAACGGTCTCGCATCCGATGCACGTTCGGTGCCACTGCGGCGTCTGGGTGTCCGCACATACGGTGAGAGAGTCTCCAAGAGAAAAGGAGGCAAGGGAAGGAGGGAATTTCAGCGCAATGTAGATGAGATAAGTGATGCCCACGAGGAGTGGTAGAGAGAAGAGGGGACGGAGAGGGTTGGGAAACTTTTTTTTTTATTTTTGGTGAAACGGGTTGGCATTGTTCCGATAATCTTGGAAGGCTGGTCTCCTTTTTTTTTTTTTTTTTTTTTTTCTTCCTTTATTTGTGTATGTGTAACTGTGAGGCGATTTGAGCGGTGCTTTTTGACGAATCACACCCTACTCAAATGTAAAGTCTCATAGAAAAAAGATAGAAAACCGAGAGAAAAATGCGGGAAAAAAAAAAAAAATCCAACCAGGAGAGGCGAAAAACAAAGCGCCGCATGCAGGCCCGCAGGACAACTCCCAGCATTTTTGGCCTTGTTAGCTGCGGCGACAGTCCACGCAACCTGTACGTAAGCTTTATAGTGGAACGGCATCTGCACACCGCATATCCTTCGCCATTTCAGGCTCTCCTTTGGTCTCAGTTTCACGGAAGTCCTCAACAACAACGAAAACAACCAATATTTTCGCAAGCGCCATTTTCCGCCGGTTGCTATTGCCATGTTCACTTATGCAACGGTTCGTAGAAAAGACATGTCTATGGCTCTGACCGTTGTTGCTTGCTTGCAAAAGGAAAGAGAACCTCGCTGTTGCATGATCTCAGCGAAGCTTCTTTAACCGCCGGGCCAGAAGTCGTCGGCCGTTGCGCCAAGTGACCTTTTGGTATCGAAGCTTTCCAGAAGCAGATACGAAAATGGGGGGTCACACTTGCTGCTTGGCCCAGGTGGCAGGTGGGGCTTATCGGAAGCACCCCATGAGC